ACATTAATCAAAAGGCATTGTATTCATAAACTGCTTTGTTGAATGTCTACTCTTCTGTACAACTACTTAAAAATAACATATATTACACACATATATGTATGTGTGTTATATGTATATATATGTACATATATATATATATATATATAATGAAATAAGCAACCCAAAAAAATGCTCATGAAGGAGGACATATTGATTTGAAGTTCTGCTTGTGACTTGGCAGAAGGAATTTCAAATCCCAGCTCTGTCTCTTATAGCACTGTGGCCTTGGGCTTGTCATTTCTTTTTGTTTCTCTGGATTTTTTGGTAAGTCAAGAGGCTTGAACTCAGGGCCTGAGCATGGACCCTGAGCTTTTCTGCTCAACTAGTACTCTACCACTTTGAGCCACAGCCCCACTTCCAGTTTTCTGGTGGTTAATTGGAGATAAGAGTCTCACGGACTTTCCTGCCCAGGCTGGCTTTGAACTGTAATCTTCAGATCTCAGCCTCCTGAGGAGGTAGGAGTACAGGCATGAGCCACTAGCACCCAGCTTGGACTTTTTAATCTATGAATAGGAATACCAGCCGCTCCAGCTGTCTCCCAAACATAATAAGGTGGCCACTATGGACATTGGTCAACTAAGAAAACAGATTCCTGGCTGTCCCCAGTGCCCATCTCATTCTTCCATAGCTTTATCATCTTGGAAAGATATTTAATGTTTCCTCACTACATTTTTATTGTTTGATTCTGGTTTTTTAGAGACAGGATCTCACTGTCACCAAGTTTGGTCTGGAACTCACTTTGCAGCCCAGACTGAACTTGAATTCTTAATCTTCCTGCCATAGCCTCCTGAATTCTGGGAGTACATGTTTGGGTACCATACCTAACTCAGCAAGGTTTTATTATTTGTTTTCAATCTTTAAGTTAATGTGAAAATTAAATAAATCAATTTAGAAAGTTTCTGACCCCTAATATAATAAGTGTTCAATAAGCCTAGAGATCCTGGTAATGTGTGGATGAAGATTTATTTATAAACTACATAGGGTGGGTACAAGGCAAAAGAGGTAGGGGAAGGAGCACAGAGCTCAGCATCAACATCTTTCCTCTTGTAGTATTTACTGCATACCTGCTATTGGTGAGAATAGGGCTCAGGAGCGAAGAGAAAAGCAAGGAACAGTCAGTTCAGTGGGATGTATGCCCCTATAGGGGCTGAGGGCCAATGCTGAGACATAGAGGACTTCTCAGATGACCTAGCCCTCATTTCCCTAGCCCTCATTTCCTGTATGTAACACTCCAATAACAAACTCTCCTGGCTATTTCACATGCATCCAGAGAGAAAACAGGTGTGATAGTGGGTGTGGATGTATGTGGACATCTGGAGATCCTGCCTTAGCCTTGTGGTCCAGCGCTGGGAGTCGGGGACCTCAGGGTGGAGCCTGCTTTCTCCAGCTCACACGGCTCACTGTGTGGCCTCTGGCAAACCCTATCCTCTCTTCCCTCCCAGGAACCCTGTCACCTCTCCTCTGGTATAGATGAGATCAGTGGACCTCAAACTGGGCTCCAGGGTACCCATGGGAGTCCCTGCTCCAGCTTGCCTCTGCCACATCAACCAGCAAAGTTTCCATTTTTATCTGTGTCCCATTTGGAGTTCTAAGTAAGGTTCTTTTGGAAACCAACAATAGCAAAAAAAAAAAAAAAAAGATTCCATGACTAAAAAAGGTTTGAAAACCTCTGGACCAGATGACCTCTAGGGACACTTCCAGCCAGCTCAAAGTTGAGAACACTTGCGTCTAACTATTTTCCTCTGCATTTTATTTAACAAATATGTTTTCCACGCACTTACTGCATGCCAGGTCCATTCTTAACACCCTACAGATTGTAATACACTTAATCCAGTGGAACACCTCCCAGCTGCGTGAGGGCCGCATGATTGCAGAAATGACTCTATGAGTCACTTAGGATCCAGGGGAGCCATTTCATCTTCTGGCAGCCAGGGCAATGACCTCACCTCAGGTCAGCTGGTGCCTTGGCCAGGTGAACTTGAGACACAGTGGGGAAGGTGTGTGTGTAGTGGCTGGGTGTGGTTGCAGGAAATCTGTGTGTCCCAGGCCCTCAGAGGAAGGGAACAATCAGCTCAATATGGACACTCTCATTCAAGGCATGTGCTGTGTGAAAGGAAGTGCCCGTTGCCTTAGCAATGTTCACATTGTCCTGTAATCCATCCCTAACCGCCACGCTGCCATTGACACCGTGCACCAGATGGCTGCAGATCTGATTTCAGCAGTGACAACCAGAGCCAAGGGGCCTGGAGAAGTCCTGGGGGTTGTGGAGAGGAGGGAGCTGGGGGTATTTTGACCTCACCTCCAGCCAGTTCATTAAGGGGAACAGATCAAACTTGATGTCTCTCATAATTTAGCTCTCCTTCCCAGACACCAAGAAATAGGATATGGGAGAGCAAAGATGGAAGCCATCTCCCCAGCACAAGTTTGGCCCTGTTGCCTGGGCCAGCATTTTGGCCAGGTCAGGTGGTTTTTGTTCAGATTATAAATCTGAACCAAGTGGTGGTGGCATGCTCCAACCTACAGTTCAAACGCCAAAGTTTTAGGGTCTGTCCTTAAGGGATTATTGAGTATCCTTGAATTTATAACTGCAGCAGATCTCCATGTACCTCCCTTTACCAGGCAGAGTGCTGAATGCTAGGTTCAAGAGTGAGTAAAATGCACTTGGTCTTCAAGGAGCACCAACCCTATTGAGGGATGGGCAATGAATGACACATGCTTTTATGTCATCTAGGAGGACAGATCCATTTCTCCACCAGGCAAAGAATTTAGAGGCAGAGGAGTAATATAGTAAACAGCAAGTTTATTGAAGGCAAAAGTATAGTACAGATTCTCAGTGGAGAGGGGCCCCCAGCTGAGAAATGGTTGAAACCCCCCAGAGAAGAAGCCTTTCTGCTTTATTAATTCCTCTCCCTGAGACACAATTGATCAGTGAAGGTCCATGCATTATCCTGGGTCTTTCATTGGTCTCTGCCACTGGGCATGGGCACTGAAGTAAGTCCTATTGGTCAAGCCTGATCATGAAAGTGGATTTGATTAGTCATGCCCAATTGTGCACGAGGCATTACCTCACTACTCAGGTAAGATTGTGAGCCCAGTGAATTATGGGAAGAAGTGCCATTTTAAGCAGACCCGAGGTACGATGGGAACAAGAAATACCATGATGGAGCACATGTTGTCTGCTATGTGTTATGTCCACCATTTTCTATCCCTAACTACTTAGCAGTTCCTCATTCTTTCCCTCATTTATAAGCTATGTTCCCACTCTGGTGGACAGAAGTGAAGTATATCAATCATCTATCACTACAATATGCTGTGTAATAACAACAGAATCTGCCACTAATATAGCCAGGTCATTGGTAGGTAGGCTCCATTGAATTTACTGACTTCACATATCTGGTCTCAAGAGCCCTGACTGGATCACTCTGCCCTGAAGGTCTCTCCTCCCCCACTAGACGGGCCTGGGCTACTCTCCAGGCAATGACAGATGCACAAGGTAGCAGCAGCAATACTCAAGGGCTTTTCAAGCCTTCCTTTGAGATGGTAACTGAGATCACATTGGCTGAAGCAAGTCAGAAAAGCAGGGAGCTACAAAGTCCTGTGGCAAAGGGGAGAGGATAGGATTTGCGGCTATTACAAGGTTAGTCTATCACCCAAAAGGAAAGACCTAATTCAGCTCCCAGGGTAGACAGCAAAGTATCATAGAGGAAGACATCTTGGCAGATCTTGGATAGCCATGTCTAGAGGCCAGCGGATGTTTGCTTCTGAAAGATGACTATAACAGAAGAACATGAGATAGCCACACATAGGGCTAGAGGAAGGACTGCAGGGAGTTAGGAGGGGCTGGTGCTGTGGACCCAGAGGAGAATGATGCTTGAGCTTGAGTGGGTGTAGGCTAAGAGCCTGCAGCTTGTCATCTAAGTAGAAGGAACAGAGTTTGCCTAAGGCCTGAAGGCACAGGCTGGGATGGGAAGCAGCATGGACAGAAGGCCAGAAATCACCTCCTGACATTTCACACAGGGATTGCAATACGTTTTGTTGTTGTTTTTTTTTCTCTCCAACTGTGTTTAAATAACACCATAAATGATTGGGCCCCTCCTTCCCACAGGGTCTGAGATTCTAAGTCCTGCGAAGCTGGCTCCCACTCCAGCCATACTGATTGTATCTTCCCTTCCTTGAGTCTCAGTTTCCCCATCTAAAATGAGAACATTGAACTAGACCATCACCTAGGGCCTTGTACCTGTGTTCTATTAGAACCATGGTCCTTAATTGTTATAGGCAGAAAGTGCTAAGGGAGTCTGTTAGTAAAGGACTTTGAGTCTGAAGGGCAGAGCCTGGGTGACTGATTTCTACATGGCAGATGCCTGGCTGGGCACAGCTGTGTCCCCAGAGCCTGCCATTGTTGGTCCAGAGGACAGAGGAGCTTGAGGACATGCCTGCTAAATGCAAGCAAGGTTAAGGCTCTCAGGGCCATACTCCACCAGCCTTTCCTGGGTAAGGAAGGCTTCCCAAGCAGATGGGCTTCAAATCAGACTTTGACATTGAGCTGAGCTTGTTTGTTGTTTTTGTTCACTTGATTGTTTTGCTTTGTTTGGATATGCTCTTAACTATAAAATGAGCCTGCTTATTCTAGAAGACTTCTAAGCAAAGGAACACAAGGAGTCAAGAGAGGAGCCCATCATTCCAAGCCCAGATATTTTGCTACATCATTAGACACAAGGTTGAGACTCAGAGAAGGAGGCAGACCAGCATGGGAAAAGGCCTGGAGACTAGAGCAGGCTAGCCATGCTCAGAGCCTATTGGTTGGACATAGGGAATGTGGAAACATCCTCTGGGCAAGCTGGTGCCCAGCCCACACACCCTCTCTGTTTCAGGCTGTCCTTAAGCTCAGAGCAAAGAAGGCAGGATCTGAGGCCAACAGGTCTCTGCGCATAGCCCTGATGCTTCTCTCTTTCCTTGGCCAGGTGTTGTTTGCCCTGAACCAGACCCTGCTGCAGCATGAGAGTGTGCGGGCGGGAAGCCTGCAGGCCCCCTACACCACAGAGGACCTCATCAAGCACTACAACTGCGGGGACCTCAATGCTGTCATCTTCAATCATGACACGTCCCAGGTGAGTTTCCCTTCCTCACCTATTCACATAGCTTAGAATCAGTCCCATACAACTCTACCTGGCATTTATTAGATACCTATGGTGTGCTGCGCATCTCTTCTGTGCCACAAAAAATAGGGACTATTTTCATAGCCCCTTTTATAGATGGGGAAAGTGAGCCTCAGAGAAGGAAACAGACTTCTTCAAAGCCATGCAACTTATTAGTTGTTGAATTATCAAGTTGTTGAAATCTGCATTGCTATAGGGCCTAGGATGTTGGAAGCTTAGCCTAAAAGACTGGGAAATGTTTAAGAGGTCCAGTTCAACATTTGGGGAAACATGTAAACTGAAGGGAAAGCCCACAGTTATTCTGACCTTGAATCTAGCCTAAGATATTCTTTGTCTATTCAAGTCCTAGAAGAAAGATGACAACCAGGCCAGGCAAAGAGTAAGTAAGGAACTGAGTATGGCCTATCTTTGCCCAGACTTTACCAAACTTCCTGTTGCTGTTGGGCAAATTGTAAGGCACTTTGTCCAGGAGTTCGACGCCCTGGACACCTTGCTCTCTGCTTACAGTATAGATCCCCTCAGGAACCTGTGGAACATGCAGCTGTAATGCAGTTTGTCCTCCTGTGCTTCTGTGCCTTTGTCCAGGCTCCTCCCTCTTCCTGGATTCTTCCCACTTGGCCAGGGACAGGCATCACCTCCCCTGAGAAACCTTTCAGATACCCTGGATGGAGCTAGGTCCTCCTAGCACCTCTGCCCCGCCATGGTTCTTCTTTCATGATACTTGAATGTCCATTCACTCAGGAAGTACTTGGGTTAGGCAGAGAAGACTACACTTCACTACTCAGGACTTCCATATTTCTCAGGAAAGGAAAGCCAATTTTTGCAGTGGCCTGTGCCCATACTCTTCCCCAGCTCCCACCCCCATGTCCTCTGCCTCTCCCTCTGCATACCACAGCACACAGGCCTCTTTGCTGGTCACCTCTGACACCCCTGCCTTCACACTACAGCTTCCCTCTGGGAAGCCAGGACTCACTGTGGTGGCTCATTCTCCCTCATAACTCGTCTTTAACACTTACCTCAACTATCATCCGCTCAATGAGGCTGATTCTATCTACCCTATTTATCAGAAGTGCACCTTGTCCTCTACTACCAACTCAGACCATTTTCTATGCTCTGCTGTCCCCCCATAGCCTGGAATATCCCAAATTGTGATACATATTTGTGCATTCATTAGTGACTAACATCTGATCCTCCCTACTAGAAAGCAAGCTCCATGAAGACAGGATTTGAATCTGTCTTATTCATTGGATTATCTTAACTGGCTAAAGCAGTCTGTAGCCTGAGCAGGACTCAATAACTATTTACTGAATGAATGAATGGATGGACTTGATTATAAATGCCAAGCACATGGTGCCATGTAAAGGGACAGGAAGTAAAACCAGGCAGAGTGGCCCTTGTGAGGCTCCCCTTTCATTAGTGTGAGAGGAGCAGAGGGGTTTCCTGTGACAGGAAATTTAGGTGGGACTGGTCTAAGAAGGAAGGTTCCTGCAAAGTGATGGCCACAGACAAATCTAAGGTGGCCACAGAGAGAAGAAATATTCCAGTAGAGAAAGCCACATGCATGTACATCAGATATCAAGAGAGCAGGAAGTGGGGTGAGATATCAGATCATCAAAGGGATTCTAGACCAAAGCCAAGATGCTCTGTCTGTGTGTGCCACCCAAGGCATGGGCTCACCCAGGGTAGAGTCTGCAGAGCAGAAAGCTGTGCAGCAGTGAGAACACCTGCTGGGGAGTGGGAGCAGAGAGAGGCCAAGCCAGAAGATAGTGCATTCATAAAGATCCTCTGGCTGCAGCATGAAGAGTGAAGTGGCATTTAGAGGCCAGAGAAGAACAGAAGCAGTCTGGGTTGATAATGATGGGCCCAGAAACTAGTTATACCTCACCTCTAGCTTCTTGCCTTCCTGCTTCATTGTTCTCGCCTTCAGAAAAGACCGTGCCCTGGCCTCTGCAGCCCCCAGGTCACTGGCACTGTCAGCACCTGTCATGGGAGACAGGGCCATCCCGAGGTCCATTGAGGAAGCCTTGTCTGCCTGAGGAGTAGTGTAGCCACAAAAATGTCTTGTGCAAACCCACTTTTGAAAGTGAAACATAACTAGGGGTCAGAGCAATTGGCAGGTATAAAACAATCTTCTCCAACCATAAACCTGGACTGTCCTGGACAAACCAGGACTCATGGTCATAACATCAGCCACCAAACCAACTCTTCTAACTTCTCTAAGCATATGCCTTACAGGTTTTTACTGGGAGCTTTAAGGGAACCTCAGGCCCATTCTGGGGGTGTCCATTTTGGCTCCTACCCTGACACGGGGTTGGATCCATGCAAGTTCTCACAACATCTGTTGGCTGGATGGGTTCCAGCAAAAGATTTATGGAGACCAATGTCAACAACAGACCTGAACACTTGACCATCCTTAGGTGACAGGCCATGGAACAGGGAAGCTTATCCTGAACTCTTCCCTAGTATCTCACCAAACCCTGGCCACCCTATCTCTTTGTTCCCCCTATCCTAGACCTCTCCCTCCCTCCCTAGGACTCTGGGGACCTAACATGTCCTCTTTGAAATATTCTCATACGTCCTGCACTTAAACTTGTCATAGGAGATTTAAGACCCAGGACAAGCCTAATGACATCATTAGTTTGCTTCCCTCCCAGCCCTGGCTCACATCCAGGCCCCATCTTTGGCATGGAGCCAAGGCCCATCGCACAAGACATACAGAGAATGTTGGCCAGCATCCGGGCAGCCCCAGGATCCCGAGTGTCCAGTCCAGCTCCTTCATGGCTTTGAAATTTAACTTTTTTTGGTTTTGTCCATGTTAAACATTTTTGGTTCCCTAAGGAACAAATGGGGATACATCTTTGTACAAGTTCATATTTGTCCATGTATCCAAGTCCTTAAAGGAGGAAGGAGCCCTTTGTGGCAGCCTGTCCCATCACAGGGACAGGTGATAAAGCCAGCTCTGTCCCACAGTTAGGTGTTCATAACAGCTGATGCTTGTTCAAGATGTCCTTTGTGCCATACTCTGTGCTAAGTACTTCCCAAAATCTGTCTTATTTAATCCCTACCTGAGCATTGTCCTTCTCCATGTTACCAGCTTGGAACCTGAGTCTCAGAGAGGCAAATTACCTTCTAATTATAATGAGGCCTCCCTCCCTCCCCAAGGCTAAGTGGAAAAAGAGAACTCCACACCGCATGGTGCTCACTGTATGTTTCCAGGGTCTGCATTCATAACCATGCTTCCTACAGCTCTCAGCCATTCACTTATCCACTCAGTGAGCGAACAAATAAATATTCACCAAGGGTATGTGGTCTCATTCACTCCCATGCCTAGGAACAGAGAGAAGTCTTTGCGAGAGAAGTTTCCAGAATAACCTCCCAAGTCCGAGATCTTCCTGTTCTCCTCTACTCACAAGTATTTGGTGTTTCCTCTAACTACATCGAGTCCAGTGTGGCCTATTGTGTCAGGGCTGCCAGTCATTCCTTCCAAGGGGGTGGAGAATAAAACACAATTTTTATTTGTATATTTTCTAAATAAATAATCCTTGGGCACAAACTCTGTATATTCCTTGATTAGGCACCAGCCAGGGTACTGCTACACACAGCTAAGCAGCTTGCTGTTCAAGCTTAGGAGAGGCTCACCATATGATTGCCTTATTCCCCTTAGGACGGTAAAGCAGTCCCACCATTCAAATGCCTTATCTCCCACCTTACTCTGAGGAACATGCTGGTCATATACCAGCTGACAGCATAGGCAGATGTCCTAGCTTCCAGTGGCCCACAGATTTCAGTTTCTTTTGACTCTCCCCATTTTCTCAGAAAGAGTGTTGACCACCCATCAGTGGCTCTAGAAGCTATGTGTTTGGACTCCTATTTGGGGGCTAACACCTAATTTCCTAACAAAAATAATTTCTTTGTGCCAGCCCTCCATAGACCTCATCCATTAGTCAGTCTGACCTGGTACCTATGCTTTGTTACCTGGGGAGTGGAGGGAAGAAAAATAAATAGAAAACATTGTATGAGCAAGAGCTTGGAGGCAATAATATTTGTGGGTTCAGAGGAGACTGTTGTAATTTACTGTCTCCGTTTCCTCAGTGGTCACATGCATGTGTAGGAGAAGATGGTACTAGAATACCTGCTTCTGCCAAGCAGGCTGTACAGGTGAAGAAATGCTGGGGATCAATCACCCCTTTTGGGGCACCCTCTTTATGCCAGGCACTGGCAACCTGGAATCACCCTTGAACCTGGAGAATCAAAAGCCTGCTTAAAAGCACAGTTGCAATGCTATTGACAGGCCACATGGCTGGCTATGATAGGGAAGGCCCAGGGTTGATATAGTTGGGCAGATCCCAGGCTGATGCTATTACAGAAGAAGCGTTGGAGTCCTGGAGTTTGGAGTTTTGAAGTATCCTAGGAAGTCATAGAGCCAGATGGACAGATGTTGGGTCAGTCATTGGGAAAAACCAAGGTGCCACCTCCTATCACCTCTGGAGTGGGGGTTCCACATGTAACCCATGAAAAGACTCTTATCTTTTAGTCCCCACAGTCTCCTCAGTCCCATGTTATAAATGAGAAAAGTGGGATTCAGAAAAGGTGATCAATGTGTCCAATACCCAACAGCATCAAAATTGGTGCTGAAGTCCAGACCAGCCTAACTCCATGTGGTTTTCCTGCTGTACCAGGAGGTTCAGCTGACTCTCCACATCTCTTGCTAAACTGAGCTCCTTGTACATGCAGGTGCTGGGGTCCATGTTGAAGTGAGAGTAGTAAGGAGACGAGCCTGATCTCAGGCTTCCTCAGCCACTGAGTACTGAGATGGACTCCGGTAGAGACTTGAGACAGACCAATACAGCTGTCCAGCTGGTGGAGCTCTCAGCCTGGCTCTGCCACTTCACTAGTTGAGACTTTGCACACATCTTAGGACCCTTTCCACTCTTGTTTGCTCAATGGATAAAACTCAGAGGATAACACTCAGAAGTGAGTGAAACTCTCAGCCTACTGACCAGCCTAATAAAGGTAAGTCACTCAGCCCCACCCAAGCCCTTCCTGAAGATGGCTTCTATCTTGCTATTGCAGCTACCCAACTTTATCAACACCACCCTCCCACCGCACGAACAGGTAACAGCCCAGGAGATTGACAGCTATTTCCGCCAGGAGCTCATCTACAAGAGGAACGAGCGCATGGGGCGGAGGGTCATGGCGCTGCTTCAGGAGAACGAGGACAAGACCTGCTTCTTTGCCTTCGGAGCAGGTTTGGGTCCCTGACTTCTACTTCCTCATGACAAAGTCCAGGCCCAGTAAATGGGGCAAGAAAAGCACGTGGCACCCAGCAGCAGTGCTGGGACCCTCTCACTTCTGCTGCTTCCGATCAAGGGGTTTCTCATAACAGTCCCTTTGGTGAAGGGAGAGGCCTTGAATAATTTCTGTGGTCCCTTCAAGCCCGAAGTGGCCACAGCTGAAGTTGGCTTCAACTGTCCAACAGAGTCAGGGTCAAGGCTGAAGGCTGTGTGACTCAATGGAGAGAGGGGATGGGTTATGGCAGTCCCCAGAGGTGGGTTGCAGATCCCAACTTATCTGTCACTTTCTCAAAGACTCAGTTCCTGTCAATGGGAATGGTAGTAATAATTATTTGATGGATTAAAAATGTCTTCTTTGGGCTGGGAAGCTGGCTCAGTGGTAGAGTGCTTGCCTTGCATGCATGAGGCCTTGGGTTTGATTCCTCAGCACCACATAGGCAGAAAAAAGCTGGAAGTGGTGCTGTGGCTCAAGTGGTAGGTCGCTAGCCTTGAGCTGAAGAGTTGAGGGACAGCGCCCAGGCCCAGAGTTCAGGCCCCATGACCAACAACAACAACAAAAAAAGTCTACCTCATAAATAGATATAAAGATTAGTGACAACATTTAACCAGCCACATAAAAGGAATTCCAAATGGCAGCTATGACCATCGTCATAAGCATCACTATCACAATGTGAGACCATACGTCTAATGTATTGTTCTGGGGTGTCTTGCCTCTTCTTGCAAAGGGGAGCCCCGATGTCAAGTGCAGGGCTCAATGAACAGTTCTCTCTCACCCTTTCTTCCTTTCTCCATAGCTGTCTCTCTTGGTGACAGCCATGGCTACATCTGAGGACAAGATATTATTTTTGCCTTCTTTAGTTGTCATTCTTTGCTCAGCAGCTTGTGACAACAAATATTTACTTTCTGCTTAAATTACTTGCCATTTGGGTTACAGAATTCATCTCTTGTTTCATGAAAAATAAAAGCTTACAGACCTGTTCACCATGGCCTGTACCACGATTATAGCTATTATTCTCATCTTCCCTTTCCTTGTCATATCACCCACCCACTCACCCCCTGTACACAGTCAGTCGGAGTCATATGAGTCTTCGTGGATGTCCTGACTTTGTTCACTGTTTGAACCCTTTGACTCCATTCAGCTCCAAGTGTGTCAAGGACAAAGACCAGAGATACATCTGTCAGGACCACTCTTGCTCCTTCCACATCCCCTAGCTCAGCAAGGTACATGGGAGGGACTCAGACACAAATGTAGGCCCTCTGGTACTGCCTGGTAAGGTCACAGTACCGGGACATAAAGAGTCCTGAGCTGATGTTGGAGCTCTGCCACAGACCTGTGGCCTCTGTCAAGTCTTGTCTCCTCTTGCAGCCTCAATTTGCTCTTCTGACCAGGCATCAGGGCTCAGCTCACTTGGGCTATCAAGGGTTCCAGGATCTTTTTGCAAACACAGATATTGGAGAAGAAAGGAGTTCTGCCCAGCTCTAGAGGAACTTCCTGGAGAAGCCAGCAAGACAAGACCATGACTAACTGTATAGAAAGGGCAGCCAATCTCTCAGCACAGGTTACCTGTGGGGGTGGGAGGAGGGAGAAGGCATGGGTCAGGATAACTTGGAGAGAAGTGTTCACAAGTACCTCTTCTTTACCACCAGTTGTCCCACACTCCCTCTTCTGGGCTTCAGGATAGTACAGCCTCAGCTGACCTCAGAAGGGTCAGAAGGGGAGCTACTTGAAGTCACTCAGTGCCCCTCACCTTCAGACCCTTCCCAGAACTGTGAGAGACCAGCGAGGGATGGCTGCCCCCACCTGAGTAGGTGACCCCTACCCTGTCTAACCCAAGGTTACTCAGGGGCCTAGGAGTCGATAACACCAGCTCTCCTGTAGTTGAGGACACTGAAATTCTGAAGAAGAAAAACACAGTCCTGTGGGCAGCCCTGACACACACAGCAAGTACCTTTTTTCCTGACACTCTAAGTTCATGGAGACAAATTTCCACTTGAGTTCCACTTTGAAATTAAAATATCACTTTTTTGAAAAATGATGGTGCTAGAAAAGGATTTCAGAGTATTTACTTGGCAGAATAAAAAGCTAGTAATTGTACTTATATCCTCATTCACCCACCGTGTTGTTTAAGATGAGAAAGAATTGAGTATGCTATTGAATGATGTAAGAATATAGTCAGGTGGTCAAGGCCACTGATACAGGAACAGAAAGGTTTCAAAAAGGCAGGAGAAGGGGAAACAGCATTCAGGAAGAGAGTGTGTCCCTGGGCCCCCCCTCACCTAGAACCAGAAGGAAGGAAAGAGGCAGCTAGCAGCCAGGCTGCTTTGTGGTTGGACAAGTGAACACATCCTTTCGTGATGGCTTCTGAGCAGAGCTTGGCTTTCTCACATGAAGAGTGAAGACATCTGAAGGAACAGGGGACAGCATTTGATATAAATGCAGGAGGGAGAAACATTCAACATCGAGAGATTGTCCATAAACCTGGCCAGGACAGGAAGTTAAGTAGGTTTTAATTCACAGACCAACTGTGATTCATTGGTAGGGGCTGCCTAGAGCATGATGCTGTAAAAGACAGTAAGACCACATCAGTACCCAGTAGAGGAAGAGTCCTAACTGAGCCCTGATATCTGCTAAGGACCAGGTTTCAGACACAAACCTGCTATACTCTCACTCGCTTTGCTGGGAACCCATGACCTTGCCAAGTCACAATTTATAAGATTTTTTTCCCATCTATACCAAACAGCTAAGGTATAAAAATGGATACTATCCTCCAGGTCTGTCTCTCTCTTGATTGTATCCTAACATCCTGCCTAGTGACCATCCCATTGCATGTCAACTACTCCAGGACAGATCCCACACACCAAAAAAATACCAACACCTAGTAGATGGGCTATAAAGATATGTTGGACCAAACCACAGATAGTCAAGTTCATTCCATTCAGTCATAGGATATCTCCTGGACACCAGGAGAAAAATTTCAGTTTATCCCTAGAGCCAAGAAAATAAATATTGTGGAGACTTTTATTTGTTCAGCCATCTAAGGAATCCTGTAGCTTTGGTTTGGTTTTACAAATAGAATGCATAATGTTGGGACTGGAGGAGTTGGGTTGGAGGCATGGATCAGACTCAGGGGTTGACCAGATAATCTCTCTTTCCATTTATTTCCAACTCTGAGATCCAGTGGTTATCACATACTCTGTAACCCTAGTATGTCATGCATGGTCTGAATAGAATTTTAATTTCTAGCATTCCCCAATTCTTTGACCCCTCACATTCTATTGTTCCAAAGTTGCCTGGTTCTAATATCCTGACATTCTGACATCATAGCATTCTAACATTCCACCAGAGTTTGCTTCACTCACTTTTGGATTCCTGGGCAGAAGTCTAAATCTAAGAGCCTTCCAGGACCTAGGCATCCCTTCTTGATGGGCTCCTTCTACCTGCCCTGCATGAAGCCGAGGTCCTTGCTAGAAACAGGATTGAAATGCTCAAAACTGGATGTGTGAAGACTAGTGCCCACATGTTCAACTCATTGAGCTGCAAATCCATAATCAGAACCATAACTGTGGGCTGGAATATGAGTGGATTAGTGGTAAAGACCAGAACTTGAGAGAAGGAATAGGCGTAAGCCCAGCATTCTAAACACCACTAATGTTTTCTTCTCTTTAAATAAGAACAACAGTGACTAGATAATGGTAAAGTATTTGCCTAGCATGTAGGCTGTGGGTTCAATCTTCAGCTAAGATAGGTAGGTAAGTAGGTAGATAGATGATAGATAGATAGATAGATAGATAGATAGATAGATAGATAGATAGATAGATAGAAAATGTATACATACATTTGCATACATTCAACAACAGCAGTTACTCCCTGGAGGTGGTATTCTTTGCTGCTTGAAGGATTCCATATTCATCAGCTCACATAACCCCCATCCTCAGGTCCCCCGGAGGAACATATTTGAAGGACAAGTACATGGAGATGCAAACAGAAGTCAGAGGGCCTTAGCCTGCAGTGAGATGACAGTAATACTCTCTGCCACTTGTTCTGACAGGCAGCCTCCCTAAAAAACACCACTGGCTGCTACCTGGGGCCTCTTAATCTACTGAGAATTCTCATCCCCTCCTCTGTAGTATCCTGTACTTCTCCCTCAAAGCTCTGCTCACCCTGAGCATAATGTCATCTGCATCCATCCAAGCTGTTCCTGAGGACTGAGAAGGTGCTCATTACCCAATTGTTACATAAATGCATTCATGTATTGACCCTAGACTCTAAGGAGAAGTTCCCTGTGCTCCTGTATTATCCCACAGCAAAACCTAGCCTGGAACCCACACCTGCTGCTTCTGTGGTAGGAACCTAATTAGCATAAGAACATCATGTCTGCCCTTTAGATTGACAAATAAAAAGAGAATCCATGAGAATCAGAGTCCCAGGTCCTGTTGAGTCAACCGTGCCAGTGGAGGCTAGAGAAAGAGGGCTGAGTGCTAAGAAAGAGGAGTTTTAGGGAGAAGAGGCAACCAGATAGGAAGAAAATGAGCAAGCAGGAAAGAAAGAAGACAAGGACAGCATTAAGACAAGGACAAGATGGCAGAAAAAAAGAGAGAGAAAGGACCTGCTGTTAGAAACATCTGACTTTCTGGGATCCTCCATAAGGCCTTCTAAGAGCCTTCCCTTCTCTCCATCTGCACAGGAGCTTAGACGAGGTGAGATGAGGTCCCCTCCAGTCCCAGCATTCAGTTTCCTGCTTGCTGGCAGAGGTTTGAGTGATTGGTAGTGAGTCAAAGAAGAGAGAATTCGTTGCAAAGTCCTTCATGTAGATCCAGTGGCCTTCCAGTTCATCTCATCATCCCCATAGTCCTTAGGACCAGACCCGCCCCTACCCCATCCCCACCCGGCTTGTTTCTCTATTGAATGACATCAGAAATGGGAGCCCTTCAGAGCTCGTGGCTTGTCTCAGAA